ATCTGAATCCCAGCGTAACGAAGCGATGAGGCAATCAGCGAACTTGATAGAATTTTATTTTTCCGGAAAATCATTCAAAACTTTGTTAAATTCCGCAACTAACGGCTCAATGAATGCACACTTGACGAAAATTATCATTCCCAAAGAAATACATACACAACTTCAGCAAAAAGCAAAAAAATGCAAACCGGAAATTTCCGGAAAACTTAAGGGTGGTTGAACTTGAAACGTAGAAATTGGCAATGATTACGACTAGGGTAGAGGAAGAAATCAATCGGATCCACCCCACAGCGTAACACAATGAAAAGGGTCTGCACAATTTTATACAGGGTGTAAAAGAAAAGCAAAAAAAATCTCAAGAGAGTTGCTAAACTTTGCATTGTTACAAAACACATTGTACCAACTCCACTGGTCAGCAGACTATTACAACACCTATGCAAGGGATGTAAAAGGGATGAAAACCTGAAAACGTTGCGAATAGCGAATGTGGATGCGCCGGGCTTGCAGTACAATATACAACACTAAAATAGTGTAGTTGCAAAGGGTGGAAAATGCACGCAAATGGAGAATAGCGAATCAGAAATGCAAAATTCGTTTCCAGGTCTTGCCGATGCATGAATTCGCGTAATTGGCCGGGACGTAGACGATAATTAAAGTCGTTTAAAAAATTTAACTACATTCAGCTAACTGAAGTAATAAAACGGCAAAAAAAACGTTTTTGTGATTTTTTAGTTTTGTGTGTTGAATTTCACAATTTTTACATTTATTATCATCGTTCTGACATTGCGCTCGAGTGAATGAGCGACGGGTGTGCGTCGGCGAGAAGTTGTGGGGGTGGATAAACCCCGAACCGAGCAACTCGGCGTTTAGCGAGTGAATGAAACATTTCACCCGACGGATTAGATTAGATAGAAAGCAGAGCGTGCATTTCGCGCCTGTCTTTTTAGCTTTCACGCTTGCTTTGCGAAACATGCCACAACAGCCCGAACAAAGGGGGTTGGAATTGTTGCATACTACGAAATAAATAAACCTCCACAAATAAAAACATTCAGAATACTACTAGAATTTAAAAGAAAATAAATTTTTAGATTTTAAACCAAAAAATTTTTATTTTAAATTTTTTTATTTTTAAGGGTAAAGTCCAACCCGTGAGGCGACAAGTAAGCAAACGCAAACGGAACACCACGGCCTGTGTGTCCTGGGGCCAGCAACAGGTCGCTTTTCCGCTTGTCTTTTAGCTTGTCGGTTGAGCGCCCTCTACGTCTATGTATTAATGTATGTGTGCTACCACCACCGCCAGAGCTTACTTCAACCCTCGTTCACTTCCTCAATCCTCATCCTCATACTCTTGTCCGCTACTCAACTGGGAGACATTCATTATTTCAATACAATGAACTGCACCATTTAGCAATTTTACACCCCGGCATGGATTTTCGAATGAAATTCGTATTTCCACGCGGCGTAAATCACGCGCATCGTTTATTTTTTCATGCGTTGCAGGCTGCAGGTTAGTTTGGTGTGTGTCTTTTTGGTGGAGGCGCCGCAAACAGCAATTCGCTCTTTTAACACTTGTAAATATTAATGCGACGACGCGCAACAAAGCGCCTTTGTGTAAACGGCGTGCGCATTTCGCCATCCAGCTCCTTCGGAAGTCGAAGAAGAGGCGGCCGGGCGATAAATTCTCGTTTAAATAGAGTGCGATTATGAAGAGAGCTGCAACAGCGCAAGACCAAATTCACTATATTCACTGTATTCAACATTTGTGGAATTTTATGTAAAAATTATACAGGGTAATAATATTTTGACTTACTAAACATTAAAATTTGTTTATTTTATTAATATTAAAAAAAATATTTTGTTTTTTGTAAAATTTAGATTTTTTTTTTTTTTTTTTTAAAGTATCCTGTATATTTTTGGAGTAAAAAGCTCCAGCGTTTCCGAAACCCTTGTAGCCGAGCATTGTGTCGACTTAATGTCGGGGCGCGCGCTCATGAAATATTTATGACTTAACAAATCACACCTTCTCTTATTTAATTGCCGTCTCGACTTTCATCTCGGCGCGCGTATTTTTTGTTTGCGCTTTTTATTAAACTAACTTTGTGTTGAGCTTCTGCGGTCCGAGGGCGTATAATTCGCAAGGTGCTGAATTAGTTACCGAAATTAGTCTTTTCAACCCCAAAACACAAAAAAACCTCGTTTTTCTTGATGTAAACGACCTGAAAATAAATTCGAACCTAAAATTTTTGGATTTTTTTCTGCGAATAGGACGCAAAATGTGAAATGCGTACGTGCTCACCGCACATAATGTGTTCTAACATTGGATTGGAATTTTTATATGTGACATATTGTCCCATTACGGGAGATACGCGCATCTTCGCAGACATGCTGATGAAAATCCATCATGCCCGCCGGCGGCGGATTAAATGAGGTGAACAAACTGAAAAATTATTGCCGACGCGTTGGTGCCGCCGCCGGGCTAAGGGGTGGCTGCGTACGGGCACTACGCAACGCTGTACATGAGTTGGTTGCGGTAAATTGTCTACGTGGGGGATGGCGCTCTCAATAAACTTGATGAGAGTTAACTTTTAGCTTTCCTGAAGGCATAAAGGGATGAAAAATCAAATAAAAAATAAAAAAAACATTTTTTTACTAAATTTCAAATAAATACATTTTTACATTGATGATTCAACGTGGTTGGTGACTAGTGTCACGTCTTAAAATCCCCAACGGGGCAATCTCACCCCCTGTCCGTTTCTCACCCCGCACCGCGTGCGCAAGGATTAATCTCGATTGCCCGGACATGCCGCCGCTTTCGCCACACCTGCAATGTGCTTGGTGGTGAATCGCAAAATGCACTGCGGGCGGATCGTGTCGCGGATAAAAAGCACCCCCGTCGCGATAACGATGAAAAAACCTGCTCGCCGAGACGCAATTCGAGGAATAGAGATAGCGCGCAAAGAAAAGTTATAGGAAGCCGAGGAAAATCGTCGGGAAACTAACGCGCTGAGGAATAAGGTGCGCAACGTGCGCCAGCGTGCTCGTAGGGGATGATAAAAAATATGACGGATCGTCCCCAAGTCGCGAATCCACCGACAACACGCTAGGGTCGTTCGGAGACACTGCCACGCCAAGTAAAAATCGTTCAGGATGTAGAGACATCGAGTCATCATGGCGCCACCACAAAAATTTTAAATTTTCAACCCTTAAATAAAAAATTTTGCATTTTTTGTGATAAAAATTTGAGTTAATTTAAATTTACACTAATTAATGAGTAAATATCAAAAGTAAGGTTACTAATAGTTAAGGGTAGTTAGTAATGGTTTGGGGGAGTGGAAAACGCCGGAAGTAACGTCGGCGAAGATGCATAATGGTGTCCAATTACGAGTAATATCACCTAATACGAATTTGGGCGTCGCTTCTTCTTTGGGCGACGAACTTCGCTAATGCAATTGAAAATTCCGTCTGCTAACTGGGCGCAAAATATACCCGTGTCTTCGGGCGATTTTACCACCACCCAAGCAGATAGTGATCTTGCGAATTGTGAGACCAAACCAAAACCGGAAAACCGGAAACTGAAACTGAAACCAAAACTAAAACCAAAACATTAAGATCTTAAGTTTAAAAGCAATTATGTAATTAGCAAATTAAGATTTCACCCTCAGAAACTACCCCTAACAAAAAACTACCCCTAAAAAATAAAAAAAAAATAAAAAAAAGTTTAATTTTATTTTACTTACATAGAAGATTTTAATATATTAAAACAACTTAGAATACTTTCTAAAATTTTCCCCCCGAAGGGGATGAGGGTTGTTTAAATCTACGAGTACATCTGTATTTGTATTGTCTGAGCTTTTACCCGACGTAAACTTTGGTGGGAACAACGCACAATGCGGTTTCTTATGTTAAAATTTACGCAAAGCTTCTAAGGTGAATAAAACACCCCTAAAATCTTGCAAAAACATTCCACGAATGTATATTTAATTTTTTACGTAATAAAATGTTTCCCAGGGGTTGTGGAAGCTGTTAAAGCTATAATCTAACAAGGCATTGACGACTTTAACTTGTTATTCACCTTCCTGCAAGGATAGGAAAACATAAAGCGTTGGATGTGTAACCCGCCAGCAGGAAACACATTATCTCATTACAGCGCAGGGGTAGTTCGGGGGTGGATGGATGCAAGCAGCTGTAGCGCCTGCGATCGATAACCCATCAAGTTCCATAAACCGCAATTTACTTACACGTTCTCCAAACCCACCACCCTTCATCTAGAGGGATGTCTAGTGTGATGTGTTGACAGTCGACATGTTTAACACCGTTTAAAATAATAAATAAAATATTTACAAGTTTAGATGTTTACTAGCTTTAACCCTTGGCTTCGCTCGCGAATATCTAAAATAATGAAGTTGCTTCCGTACGCGTCTGTAGTCACAGAAGAAGTAACAATGAAGTAGAATGGCGGGAAGTTTAAAATGGCTGATAGTATAGTCTATGGAAGTATAGTGTACAGTTTCCATAGTGTAGTCAATTGGATTTGATGTTGACGTAGCTGTCGGTAATACAGTGTGATAATACAGTGTGATGGTACTATAGTACTTAGGTTTGAGCTTCATTGCTGGAATGCTAGATGGCGTTAAAATAGTCAAATAGCCAGATGCAGAGGTTATATTGGCTAAACAATTTCTTTACTTTATTTAAAAAATATTTTTTTTATTAAATAAAAAGTAGCCTATAACCATTCGGGGACCACTATGAATATGTGTACAAATTTTCATGATGATCGGTTAAGTAGTTTTTGCGTGAAAGTGTAACAAACATCAGGACTTTCGCATTTATAATATTAGTAGGGATGTGACACTTTAAAAATCTTTTTTTTGTTTTGATCTTTTGTGGGTTTAAATGTAGAAAAATGAAAATGTAAATTTTGATTTCGCGTTAATTAACGGTTGTTTTCGGCATTAATGCAGCAATAATAAGATATTAATGGCGGCGTGTTGTTTCAGCGGTGGTGGATGAGCCCGAGTTCACCGACGTGATCGAGAACATCACGGTGGCGGCGGGCCGCAACGTCAAGTTCGCCTGCTCGGTGAAGAACCTCGGCAGCTACAAGGTAAGCAAACACGAGCGCGCGCGCAGCAGCCCCCGTAGTCGGGCCCGCACATACTCGAGGGGTGGTTGTGGAAGCGCGTCTTTTGCTGCTGCGACTCTCAAATCACGGTGGATAAATAGACAAACTCCAACTCGCTGCTTCCTAGTTTCCTACAAGTGTGTGCTTTGAATTTCGACGAAGATATGCAAAATGCAGATTTTCACATACAGGGTGTTGAGAAAAAAAATTTGTTTTTGGGAAAATGTTTTATTTTGTATTAAATTATGAGGTAAAATCTATATTTTTTATTTTCACCTTTACAGCGTCAGATTTTTAACGATTTTGAGACATTTAAGTACGAACGACTAAGGCCGTGACTAAAGTACTTCAGGCCGTGACTAAAGTGTTAAACTATAATTTTAATACAAATAATTGATTTTAATACATAAATTAATCATAAATTTACATTAAATTTATTTTGCGTGCTCAAAAGTGCACTTTACTTACTAAGACGAAGTCATAACGTTATTTTAGAGAAAAAACATTGATTTCACTAAAAAAACTAAAATTTAATTAAAATACCTTTAATTAATTTGTTAAATAAAGAAAAAAACATGTTTTCACGTCTAAATCTTAATAATCCCTAATTCAACACATCATAAACTGTAAATCCTTACATTTTTAAATTTCCCGACGCCAAAACTCTGCGCGTAGACAAAGCAATCGCAGGACAAAACGTCCTGAGCATCCTTCGCACGCAAACGACATTCAAGATGCTAAAAAACTCGTTTTTTCGCTCCCAATCGAAGATATCCGTCGAATTGGTCGCAAAGTGGAAAATGTCCTACGATTTCCACCAGTCCTTAACGTTAGCTTTTTCCAGCATTGACTGGGTGGATAAAATTTCTTTGTACTCGACGTGTCTGATGTATTAAAAAAAAGCTCGCAGGGTGTCGAATCCGACAAGATGAGACACAACCATCAGGATAACAAAAAAGGACCAAACTAAAACTTTTTATTTTCAGGATATTTTTTGTCTACACTACACTTAAAACAAATGTCAAATATAAAAGAAATTAAAATCTTGTATGATTATTTGTAATGCATACGGATCCTTTTGATTTTCGTCCTGTTTTCGCATTTTTAATGAGTCGCATGCATTCGTGCGTGGCGCGCAGTAATTACTTAGCGTTTGCGCGTATGAGCGAAGCCTTTAAAGTCGAATGTAATTACAGATTACGAAAAACGTCAAGAGGGGTTGCAGCCGGCTGAGAGGGTTGACGAAGAAAAAAATAACACAGACTGAAGATCGGTGATGAATGACGGCGGCTTTTCCGCGTTATGGGTCTTCATTTATATTACAGCTAACAACCTGACATCAACCCCTCAGCACCCTTAAATCTAGTGACAATATTGATGATTTGATGATTTTATGATATCTATCAAATTTTAAGGTTAAATTATGCGTGAAGAATTAGGATCATGAATGATAAATTATAAAATCAAGAAAATAAGGGTAGTTTTAAGTTTAAGGGTTGTAATATTGAGTTAAGGGTTGAAATTGATTATTAACTTGTTGATAGTCTATAACCTTATTAAAAAGTTATAATTAATCTAAACTTTGTTGAACTATCGATAAAATCAAAAATGTTAGCGTCCAATGTTAAATTTATTAGTAGCAGACGGCGGGTTCTAAACCAATAGCAGTAAAATTTGGTTAAATGATGTTTTTTACCTGTTTTAATTGTTGTAATGCGAAACATTTGTGTTTTGTCCATTAAATTGAGTTGATTTACGCGTTGGGTTTATTAAATTTTTTGGGGTCTCATCGGGGGTGAATTGCGCAGTTAATTTCGGGGTTTATCACCACTTAGATACACTTACCGCTAATTCGACCCTATTATGTTGTGAAATATGAATACCTCTCGGATTTAGTGGCCGCAAAGGTCAGAATCATACCGAATACTAAAACCACCACAAAATCATCCCTTAAATATTAAATATCAACTAAAAATTTATTTTATATGTTTTACACATTTGAATAAAATAATATAATGACGAGTTGATGGAAAACTTTTATGAAAATTTTACTACCCTTCATAGCGTAGCGCAGATTTTTCTTATTTTCTACTTGGAAATTTAACATTCAACATTCCGCCATTTCAACATTCAAACTTGTCTCTTGGTCGTGGTTTTCCTCTTGGTTTTCCACCCTCTTTCCACCCCGTCGTCGAGGTGGACACAGCGCGACAAGCGTCTCCGCATGCATGGATGACAATGGGCAGGCAAACGGGCGATCGCGCTCCGTCGACGACCGTCATCCGGAGAGGGCGCGCATCTTCCATTATCCGCTCCACAGCATCGCAACCTCATTTTCTCGACCGTTGATTTCGGCCCGTCGCTTGCTTCTTCCGCAGCACCGGGGGAAGGGTTTTGCGTTATTCACTCTTTTACAGCCATTGCCTTTCACTCATCGCACCTCATAAAATATTATCCTGTTCTCGATTCATTGAGGTTAATTTTTCACATATTACAGTTTCCTGTAATTTATAGAAATAATATTACAGTTTTCTGTAATTTTGAAAACATTTAGGTTATGCTTAAGTCATGAAAACAAGTTTCCCGAACGTAAACCGAAGTAAACTCGAAGTGAAAGCTCCACTTCACTTCGTTTATTCGTAATTTGCGCCGATGAAGAAAGACGCTGTTGGAATCGTCTCTCCCTGAGAGGGATGCTACACAATCCGCCCCTTCTCCGTTAATCTGCAGGCATTTAGAGGTAACAGCTTTTATATTGTGAAGCCGGAGCGTTGATAATCCATGCGAACTTTTTCCATTTACTCAACACCGATGAACAAGACGCAAGACACAAGTGAACTTTTTTTACCCCCACCACTCTCACAAAAAACAGATATTAATCCGTTGTTATATTTTGTAATTTAAAAAAATAAACGCGCGATGTTTGCTTGTTTAATTTCCTAATGCATGTTAAAGCTCAAAGCGCGAAAACTTGCAAGTGTGGTAATCGATAGCGTTTCGTTTTGTTTATGTTTATGTTGCGCTCGCTTGGAAATTTACATGCCGCATAGTGCAAAGTTGTGTCGATCCCTCGCAGCGCCGAATGTCAGGGTGCTCATTATGCGCGCGTACCGCGAAAGCTCGAAAGCTCGCCGCGTTTTATCCGCCGCAGCAATCGATGGCGCAAACCGCTCATGAAACAGTTAGCAAGCCGAACAATGCCATTATCACCAGTGACTATCATCCCGAAATTACATCCCTTATAATTATTCATTCGGCCGCCATTTTGGGTTAATTCACTAAATTGATCCGGTCACACATGAAATTTTAATTTTTTTCTCAAAACAAAAAATTATTTGTTGCAAAACAAAAAAAACACCCTTAGAATGAAAAATCAAGAGTCAAGAGTCAAGAGGGTGGTTTTCTAAGGGATGAGGGGATGAGGATGACTTCGTGCAAGGGCTTATAATCTAATAACGACAACGTTGTAATCAAGCGAGCGAAGTAACAAGCGTTTTCTAACCTTAAAATTCCTAACAAGCTGCCTCTTTCCGGTTTTCCTGTTTTCCGGTTTCGCACGTAGTGTACAAGCGGCCGCGTGCAGAATTACATATTGCCGGGCGACGTCTTCGTGGGTGGTCGCCGTAAACGAGTTGCGAACTCATCTCGGCCCCGGCTCGGGCTGTCATCGCGCATTCCAAGGACGAAAGTTGGACGATACAATTAAAATTTGTGACGAGAAAAACAATTTTCCGAATTGCGTTATGTGGAATTTTGCTCGTTTTACGAGCGCGCGCGTGTTTTACGCGACGCTTTTTCTCCTGTTGTTGAGTTGTATGCTGTGTTTGGAGTTTTTCCGGTTCGGTTTTTCCGGTTGCTTATTTTGTGCTTCACGTTGCGGCAGCGACTGATGTTTAATTACGATCCACTTCTCGCACGGATTCGAAAACTCTCGTAATGCAATATCCTTGGATGCAGGCAAGGATTTTACAACATTGTTTCCGGTTTTAAAAGAAAAACTAATTTTATTATGCTTTTTATTGTAAATTCAAAATTTTATTTTTAAGTGATGAACACAGATGTCACACACTTTTCACTGTCACGTTTTTATTTCCCTCTGAATGTTTTCTTGCATTATTGGAAATGTGAGCAAAGGGGGCGGTTGATTTATAGCATTCGCGATTACTACGACACATCATTCCTCATTCTATCATCGAAACGTGCAGTTTATTAAAAATCATTTGCATATGTGTTTTAAATCACATTTTGATGTTTTATTTTTATTTTTAAGAAAAATCATTTTTTAAATTTTGAAAATTTAAAAGAAACGCAGACTTCCGGAATGGCCATGTGGTGGCGGTTGAAAAGCAACGCCGGGTGTTTATAATGTGGTTTCGTGGCCTCGTTCGGCCGCTGCTGGCTCCCATCTCAACTTCTCCACAACGATAGATAGATGCGCTCGCCGCCCGGCGCCTCCACCATCCACAATCTTGTAAAATTTTAATTAGTTATTCCACGTGCATGTAATCTATAAATTTCTTTCACCCAAAGCTGTTTTACATGATATTCTATTATTTATCGCTAAACTTCAACGCCTAAACTGTATTTAATTATTTTAATTTTCTTGTTTTTTCTTTGAGAAAATGAAAAATGGTGTATTTTTATTTTGATTGTGCTCGAAGTCGTTAACAACGTTACGAATTAAAACGTGAGTCGTGTTAGATGGGTTGCCGACAATGGTAGTGCGGCGACGACGGAGCAAATTAATAATCTCGTCGATTGGGGGCCAGCGCTCGTGATTAGCTCGTAAATCCGTGTGCGGGATGAACGGACCGAGAATGTGCGCCTGTAAACGGCCCTCGCGCGCACAAATAAACGCCCCGGCGTTGATTGGGACTGAAGCCGTGCGTCGACGGCGGCGGCCGCACGCGTCGCCACGTATTACCGTCGGATTGATTGTGAAGGCGCCGGGCAACCAGTAAAAGAACGCATCTAACAAGCTA